TAACAATAACATTAGAATTTAAGGACAGTAAGGCTTTTACAATAAAATGAAATAAATTAAAAATATTGATAATCTTAATTTATCCCAGAGATTTTTTATCTGAAATTATTATATTATATTATATATAAATGGACGTGTGTGTCCCTATATTTCACTTTACAGCCAAAATTACACATCGCACACGAATGGTGTTTGTATGTGGTAGTAGTCTCCATTCCTGTAGCCTACTATGATGGTTGCGTCTTGATAGCTATAAGGGTGCGGGAGATATGGGGTTGAAAGTGGTTGACTTCGAAGATGTGTAACAATGAAAGTGTTAACAGTGGAAGTGTTAACGATGGAAGTGTTGAGTAACAAAGGAAGTGTTAATATAAAACGGCATGCAAGATTTACAGGCGCAGATGCTGTTTTTGCGGGAAATCAAACAATTTTAGACTCATGTAAAAATTCTCTAATTACTCTAGAAACGGGGGACCTAATTCTTGCATTCTGTGAAAACGGATAAGATTAGCTATAATGTAATTATCTTAATCTTCACTATCGTTACTTTTTGCCCACAATTAAAAACCCAGCGAAGCGGGTTTTTGCAGCTAGTATCGAATAAAATTAAAACACGATAATTGTATGAAATAATATAACTCCAAAACAAAATTATTTTTGAAATTTATTTATTTTTACATTAATAGATTAAATTAGTTTATTATATTTAAGCTTTTCCAGTTTTCTCATTCACTTTATCTAAAACATGGCACATTTCTGCTAATAAGTGGAGTAATAAGTTCTGGTGATTGTTTACAATATATTCCCGGTCTATTTTCTGATATTTTAAAATGTAACACCATGAAAGTTCATTTTGGAAGTCATCAATAAATTGCTGGTCAAGTATTTGGTAACGAGAAACATAATTCCAGTTTAGATAATCTTTTAATACGCGTAAAGTCATAGTTTTTAATCGTTGGTATTTTAAAATTTTTTTAATATCAAACTTATGTATGTATCGCCTAATAAAATTATCTGAAAGAATTTGAAATTCTGCGACTTTATTCCAATCAAGATATTGTGAAAAGTTGGTTAAGAATGATTCGTCTAACACCTGATACTCGCAAATTAAATCCCATTTTGCATATTTAATATGTTTTTCAATAAATGAAGTAGCGAATATATAGTTTTTCCATAGGATTTCCCAATTTAACTTATCAGCAAATTCGGAAATGAATGTGAGAGATAAATCGTTTCGTCGACTGATGATATCCCAGTCAATATAATTTCTTAAATGACGAATATTATTCTCTTCTAATGATGAAAATGAAAAATTCCCCCAATCAATTAGCAGTTGAGTATTGTCTATAAAGAAACAAAATTGTTGTTTTTGTTAGGATACATTATTCATATTAATAACATTTTATTATATGGATATCATAATAGAATACATTATTATTCAAATTGAATATATATGTGAATGGATAAACATTATTTAAATTGAGTACATATATTAACAGATACAAAATTATTTATTACATTTCATACAAT